ATGAGCACCGCCCCCTAGAGTCGAACACGACTGGGCAAAAATTGTCAAGGGGAACCTTTACCTTTACCTTACAAACCTGTGGATGCTCTTATAGGACAGGACAGAAGTTCTCTAACAGTGTAACATAAAGCTGAAAATGACCAAGGGCCCACCAGGGCCAAAATGGTGGCACAAGAGCCGAGCAGGTCACAAAATGAATGAGTTTGTTTATCTGTCTGTTTGTTTATATACTCTCCTATTTAGTGGAGACCACTACTGTGGGCAGCTTTACAACAAAAGACAGACCCGACCTCTCTCTCCTCCTGAAAATAATAATAATAACAATAATAACAAGAAGAAGAAGAAGAAGAAGAAGAAGAAGAAATGAAACAACCAACAAACCAATAAAATACAGACAAGTAAATAAGCAAACTAAAACAAAACTAAGCAATGGTGACAAACCTCAACAATAAAGGTGGCAGGTAGGTCACAGCCCCAAGTGAGTTTGACATCATCAGTTCTCTACTTTTGATATAACTTTATATCAGTACCTAATATCTCTTTGGAAATGGGCATGTTCTTCAATACTGTAATGTCCTTATACTAAGAATAAGGATACTATTCTGCTCTGGTCCATGGGGTCTTGAAGAGTTGAACACGACTTAACAACTAAACAACAAAAAAGTATTTCGTAACAGTCCAGCTTTCTGCAATGGCTCCAAGTAGTAGCCTTCTCCATAGGTTTGCTGATCTAAGCAGAAGACTGTTTTAGCTTGTTTTCCTCTTCCCTACTACATACCTCTCAAATTCTATTTTATCTTCTTTCCTGTCTTTTCCATCCCCCACACCTATCTTCCCCCCCCCATCCTTTCTTTCTGCTGGAGATACTGGGGGTATTGTAACACTGATGCACATCTGAAAGTGCTGGTCCTCACCCACAGTTTAAGAGACAAATGATAAGTGCTGGTTTAAGACTGGGTCGCTGGGTGTTCTTGGATTAAAACTCCCAGAATCCTGCACCACAAACTGTGCTGGCTAGGATATGTGGGAATTGTAATCCAAGAACATCTGGGGACCTAAGGTCGGGAACTACTGTTTTAAGTGACAATGTTTCTCTTCAGCACAATTTACTGGAGGGCACATAGCCTTTTTTTTGCTATGTATGTATGTATGTATGTATGTATGTATGTATGTATGTATGTATGTATGTATGTATGTATGTATGTATGTATGTATGTATGTATGCATGCATGCATATTTATTTATTTATTCATTCATTCATTCATTCATTCATTCATTCATTCATTCATTCATTCATTCATTCATTCATTCATTTGATTTATATCCCGCCCATCTGGTCTAAAAGACCACTCTAGGACTGCACTCCCTTGAGGGCAACCTATCAAAGGGATGAGGCCACAGGGCTGCCCGCCCCTCTCCCAGAGACCCTTCTCCCAGTCCCTCTGCTTCTTCACTCACATTTTGGTTGGGGCTGAGGAACTGAGTGCGGGCGTAGCGTGTCAACATGTTGATGATCACCACCTGGCCCCACTCCTCCACATCGATCAGCAAGTTGCACAGCTTGCGGTAGTTCTTGTGGATAAGATCGATGCGCTCTGGGCAGACCTCCTCAAAAGCCATCACCACACTGCCAGCCACCAGCTAGACAAGACAGGAAGAGGGGTTGGGGGAAAAGAGAAGGTTCACCAGAGGTCATACAGCCCCCAGATTGGGTGACCATTTTCAGAATTCTTCCCTGGGCAAATGAAACAGCACTACTAGCCAACACAGCCATCAAACTGACATCAATTCAATAGCAAATAGGATAAGAGGCAAGTGTCAAAATCATGACAATTCTACGTATTATTGAAGGCTTTCACGGCCGGGATCCGATGGTTCTTGTAGGCTTTTCGGGCTGTATCCGATGGTTCTTGTAGGTTTTTTGGGCTATTTGTTAAGGTTTTTCTTCCTAATGTTTCGCCAGTCTCTGTGGCTGGCATCTTCAGAGGACAGGAGTCAGAACTCTTGTCTGTGCTCTGGTGCAGTTTGCTCACAAGAGACTGGTGAAACGTTAGGAAGAAAAACCTTAAGTACACGGCCAAACAGCCTGAAAAACCTATAGTAACCATGACAATTCTGCTTAGAAAATTCACAAGCGTCTGAGTCTTAATAATGAGGAAAGGGGAAGAGAAGGGCAGAGATAAGGTTTCCAAATGGGCAGTTGTTTTCCTCTGTTGCAGCATAACCCACAAAGTGTCTTTTGATAATTTAAAGATAACCAGATTTATTGTGCTATAACCTTTATGGACTATGATCGTTCATCTGACGAAGACATCCTGAGTCACTGAATGCATAATCCTTCATAAATCTCATTAGCTTCATAAATCTCATAAGTAACAAAAAAGCTTTCTGTATCTTTTTTTTTAAATCAGTGTCCTCTCTCCTGCTTCAGCATCTTTCAGAGCTATCCAGCTTTACTCACTGTTGTCTTATCCGCCAGCAGTTTCTCAATAACCTCTATTAATTGGTCCTTTTGATCTGAGTCAAGGCTGCAAGGAGAAGAGACAAAAGATTATGCAGATAATATTGTTACAAACCTTAGTCAATAAGTGACTCTGGACCTGATTGTATTGGGGCAGAGAAAGGACGTTCCAATGCCTATGTTATTCTTTCTAACAAGCACATTCTTATCTAACAGTCCAACTGGTATATATTTTAAGTTGGACTGGGAAATTTGTGGTCCTCCAGTTGTTGCTGAGTTATAATTTCCATCATTCCTGACCATGATCTGGGAATTATGGGAACTGGATATCCAACATACATTGGTGGGGATAATAGGAACGGTAGTCCCAACTGTATCTAGAGGAGCACACCTTTCCCACTTTGGCTCTAAGCTCTTCATGACAACCACAATTGAGCACACCTTTCCCACTTTGGCTCTAAGCACAACCACAATCGGATGCGTGTGAGAGGAATGTGCAAATAGAGGCAGAATCACAATGTCCTCCTGCACACTTTGTTTTTATCTTAGAGATATTCAGTGGGGAAGGCAGAAAATGATTTCACAACTTCTTCTCTGTGCATATCTTTCCCAATGTTTAAGAAGTCTCAAAAAGCCAGTGCAGTTCAGTGTACGGAGGAACACACTAAGGCTCATGAGATCTGGGCTGAAATCCCCGTATGGCCATAGAAAGCCAAGGGGCAGGAGGGTGGGCTGGCACTATTGAAACTACCCCTTTCGATATCTCACATCATTTGAAAAGCCCATTAGGGTCACCATAAGTCATATGAGATTTGAAAGCACATAACAGCCACATAAAGTCTCAATGCCTTCTTGCTCGTGAATACACATGGACACTAGAAGGGGGGGACCTGTTTCTTCAAATAGGTCCAGACAGTATGTTCTTCCCACATATAAGTCAACAAGTATTTCTGTGGGGGCTTTTTCTTTCCCCAACTAACAAACTTAACTTCCAGTTTTGCTTCCCAGCTAATAGATCCACCATTGACATGGTATTTTCCCTCAGACAGTTAAAAAGAGAAATGCAGGGAACAAGGACAACCACTCTTTGTGGCCTTTATAGATCTCGCAGAAGTCCTTTGATTTGGTTAGCAGGGATGGCCTTTTTAAAATCCTTCCCAAGATTGGATGTCCACCTCAACTCCTTATCACCATCAGGTCCTTTCATGAGGAAATGAAGGGCATTGTAGTTTTTGATGGCTCAACATCAGATCCCTTTGACATCAGGAGCAGAGTGAAACAGGGCTGTGTCCTCACACCAACCCTGTTTGGGATCTTTTTTGCTGTCATGCTGAAGCATGCCTTTGGAACTGCAATAGAAGGTGTCTATCTACAGACTAGATCAGATGGAAAGCTCTTTAATCTCTCTAGATTGAGAGTGAAGGCCAAAGTCCAGCTGAAATGCATGCAGGACTTCCTCTTTGTCGTTAATGCAGCTGTTGTTGCCCACTCTGCTGAAGACCTCCAACAACTCATGAATTGTTTTAGCAAGGCCTGCCAAGATTTTGGACTAACAATCAGTCTGAAGAAAAAACAAGTCATGGGCCAGGCCGTGGACTCACTTCCCTCTATTACCATCTCCACATAAGAATTGGAGGTTGTTCATGACTTTGTGTACCTTGGCTCAATGTTCTCTGACACCCTCTCTCTAGATGTTGAGCAGGACAAATGCATTGGCAACGCAGCTACCATGTTCTCTAGACTCACAAAGAGAGTATGGCTTAATAAGAAGCTGATGGCATATACCCAGATCCAGGTCTATAGAGCCTGTGTCCCGAGTACACTCCTGCACTGCTGTGAGTCCTGGACCCTTTGTGCATGGCAGGAGAAGAGAATGAACATGTTTCATATACGTTGTCTCTGACACATTTTTGGTATCAGCTGGCAGGACAAAATTCCAAACAGAGTAGTCCTAGAATGAGCTGGAACTTTTAGCATGTATACATTACTGAAACAGTGACATCTACATACGTTGGCTTGCGCATGTCATGAGAATGGCTGACGGTCAGATTCCAAAAGATCTCCCGTATGGAGAATTAGTGCAGAGAGAGCACCTCAGAGGGAGACACAGCTGTGATACAAGGACATCTGCAAGCGGGATCTGAAGGCCTTAGGAATGGACCTCAACAGATGAAATGTTGACATCTGAGCGTTCAGCCTGGAGGCAGGTGGTGCAGCTTGGCCTCTCCCAATTTGAAGAGACCCTTGTCCAGCAGGCCGAGGCAAAAAGGCAGCCCCAAAACCAGCAAAATCAGGGAGTTGGGACAGATTGTATTTGTCTTCAGTGTGGAAGGGATGGTCACTCTCGAATTGGCCTTCTCAGCCACACTAGACGTTGTTCCAAGACCTCTACTCAGAGCACATTACCATAATCTCTCAAGACCGAAGGATGCCTACTACTATGAAAGAAAAACACAAGAACTGCTACTATAACAAAGCCTCTGAAAAACAAGGCTGCTGGTACCTTTAGCTGTTTCACTGCTCAAGAGTTGCTCCTGCATTGCACCATGACTAGCTGATCCTGTCCCATATCAGCAGGAGCCACCTGTTGGAAGTGCACTCTCTCTAAAGGCCAAACTTTGGTGGCTTTAATAAATGCATCAAAGGCCTCTGTTCTCACTGGTTTCTTGCCCAAAGACAGCTTTCCACTGACACATTTCTCTTTGGTGGAGGGCAAGAGTCTTCAGTCCTCTCCATCGCTTGGGTGGATACCAGTTGGGCAGCAACAGAGCTAACCCTCTCCTATCTTCCTTGTGGGCTTGTCATACGCTTATTGTTTTAGAAGACAACTCCCCAGAATCCCATCCCCCACAATGACAGCTGACACTGCCCAGTTCTAATCAAGGAGTCTAACCAAAGAGGTCCTTCCCCCCACTGTTAAAGTTGCAGCTGGGCTCAGAAGGCAAAAAGCAGAAAGAGGCTCCACTTACCTGTACAGCTTGGGAATAGCGTGAGCTGCCGTTTTGCGCACGTAGGGAGACATGTCTGATGCTGCCTCCTTGATGGCTAGCATCATGATGGGCACAATGATGGGCACACGGATGCTGGAGAGAACCCGGAGGGCACTGGCTCGAATCAGTTGATTGGGATCCTGCAGCAGACAGGAAGTATAGAACAGGCACTCAAAATTAGGGCCATTCTCAAGCAGGAGGGGTTTGAGGTGGGGAGAGGCCAGGTGACACACCTGCACTGCCTTGGGGGGAAGGTAAAGGTAAAGGTTCCCCTTGACAATTTTTGTCTAGTTGTGTTCGACTCTAGGGGGCAGTGCTCATCCTTGTTTCCAAGCCATAGAGCCAGCGTTTTGTCCAAAGACAGTTTCTGTGGTCACAAGGCTGGCGCAAATAGACACGGAACACCATGACCTTCCCACTAAGGTGGTCCCTATTTATCTACTCGCATTTGCATGCTTTCAACCCGCTAGGTTGGTGGGAGCTGGGACAAGTGACAGGCGCTCACTCCGTCTCGTGGATTCGATCTTACAGCTGAAGATCTACAGTCCTTACAGCACAGAGGCTTCTGCGGTTTAACCTGCAGCGCCACCATGTCCCGGTAATGGGAAAGGTAAGGATTCCCCTTGACAATATTTGTCCAGTCGTGTTCGACTCTAGGGGGCGGTGCTCATCCCCGCCTTGGGGGGATGCAGGATATAAATATAAATATAATTAACATATTAACAAATACTTTCTCCACCACAATGTTCCTTTACCACAATAACAGTTCCTAGGAAAGAGGACTTATTGTGTAGTCAAAATCTTCACCTTGATGAAGCAATGAGTACAAAACTGATCCATGGGGGAAACTGAACAGGCTGCTTCCATGTTATTACAGTATTTGCTTACTTATTACATTTACTTATTACATCTTGTCCTTCTGCCAAAGTATGTCACTTGAGCTGCCTGACAATAACATTCAAACCAAAATAAGCCCTCTTAAAACATAAAACACTACTAAAACCACATTACTGCAAAGAAACAATATCCTGTGGCCCATAGGCATAACCCAGCTAGATGCCAAATGCCTGCTGGATTAAAAAGTTCCTTGTCTTCAGGCCAAAGGAGGAAAGGGGGAGGGGGTGTGACAGCCTATCCTTTCTTGACAGGGTGGTCCAATCTTTGGAGAAGTCTCCCAAAAAGCCCTGTTACACAGCCTCACCAAACATGTCTCCAAAAATGGTGGGACTCAGAGAAGTTTCCTCCTAAGCTCTTAAAATTTAGGCAACAACCAAAATCTGGGAAGGCTTATAAGGGAGAATACAGTGTTTTGTACAGTCTCCCATTACAAAAGCAAAATGTGCTGCTTATTAAGCGCCCTATAGTGCTTTGGTGGTTTTACAATTTAATTATGCAGGCTACACCCTGACCCGCCTAGCAAGCTGGGTACTCACTTTACTCGCCTGAAAAGGATGGAAAGCTGAGTACACGGGAATGTGGGTGTCCTAATCACCTGGAAATAGGTTTGTAGGAAGTAAACAGCATCATTGCCATCCCAGAGTGCAGGACACGCAACCATGGGCTTGAGTTAAAGGAAGCCAGATTTCAGTTGAATATCAGGAAAAACTTCCTAACTGTTAGAGGAGCACGACATTGGAACCAGTGACCTCAGCAGTTGGCGAGCGCTCCAACGCTGGACGCATTCAAGAAAAACTTAGATAATCACCTGGCAGATCTGCTTTGATTTGTATTCCTGCATCGAGCAGGGGGTTGGACTGGATGGCCTTGTAGGCCCCTTCCAACGTCCCTTTTCTATGATTCCATGATTCTGTAGCTTCTTGGGAAATGGTAGGAAGAAGAAGAGCCTAAATGTTCTTTCTTCTAAAGGGAAGCAAGAGATTCTGGTTCCTCTCACTTGAAGTGTTTAGAAGTGGCAAGGCAGCACAGGCTGGTTGTTGCTTTGTTTTCAAAAAAAAGCCCAGCTTGCAGAAGAGAAAAGAGGCGGCTCTTCCTTTTTACACATGACCAACATAGCCTTTGATGGAGACAGACACCAGCTGGCAAGGATACACGTGGATTTACTGCAAACAAGTCATACACCTTTTCCCAGTCCGCAGCACACCTCAAGAACCCACCACGGAGCAAAAGACCCCCATTAGACAGCTCCCAAGGAGAAAAACCCAATCCGTCTCGGCCCTGCCCCAAGCATGAAAACACCCAACCTTGAGTCCTCGCTGGAATGTAGAGATGGAGAGCAAGGCCAGATCCTGCTGTTCTTCTGCATATCGGACCAAGTAGACATAGACAAGCTTCTTCACCTGCCACAGAAATAGCACCATTAGTCAGGCTCTCCTCAGAACCCATGTTAACTTCCCCCAGTTTCTGCCTCGTCTACCACTATGGCTTTCTGAGCAAAGGCAGACTTTCCACCTGGCTGATCCTATCTGCTCGTAGGAACAGATCAAGGCATTCTCTATCAGCCTGTGGCTTTCTGAGCAAAGGCAGACTTTCCACTTGTAGGACAGATCAAGGCATTCTCTATCATCCTCCCTGGAACCAACCACTCTTTGGGCTCCTTCCTGTAGTCCCAGAATTCCTTCTACCAATGGCCATTCTATGCCCTGTTTTGGCATCTGGGGCAGAATATAACCCAAGCACCTCTCCCCTGCCCTGGCAGTAAGAACACACAGGAATAAATGGCATAACTAATAATTTGCCATCCTTTCATGAGACCCCAGACCAACTCCTTGAGGTGGCCTTTTCGCTTTCTTATAATAGGGCCAGTCCTACTATCATATGTAATGTGATGGCAAGGGATTTATTTCTTAGGAAATGACTAGACAGGCCAGTTGGAACAGGCTGGATCAGGGTCTGAGATGTGGTATGTCGTTTGGAGCAATCCTTGCATCCACATGAAAGGACAGGGTGATTTAGGGGCAAGAAAACACAATGCACCTCAGGCAAATATATTTAATCAGGAGGGGGATAACAAAAAGAGATCCTCGTGCTTGGAAAAGCAGGAGAAAACTTTCAGTTTAAAAAACAAAAAATTACATTCAAATGGCCAAGCAGTGCCAAGCAACTAATTCCACACTGAATTGCAAGGGATTTTATTTTTAAAAAAACCAAAAAAAAATTTATTTCCTCTATTTTCTTCCCTCTCCCCAGGGAAGTAGGAGAAATCTTCCAATTTATTAATAAATATTTAGATCCTGCAGCAGCTAAGTAAAGTGACAGACCAATGGCCACTTTGGTTCAATCCTGGCTTTCACACATGCCCAAACCAAACCAAAATGGAGCAATCACATCCACACTAAAAAAAACTGTCAGGGACCCAGAAGGATGAGGGAAGGCATGGATAAGAGATGGGCTGGTTCTCAGTTGCCGATATGTCATGTAGTCACCAGAAGAAGACGCATCCCCAAGCTAGCCCACCCCCAAAGCAGACCAAATGGTTCATCTTCCCTTTGTATCAAGTCTTTGAGACTGCATAAAAACTTTAAATTTACGATTATTTTAAATCAGACAGACAGACAGACAGACAGACAGACAGACAGACAGACAGGGCAGTGGGCAGACAGATCCCATTGTCCGAAACCAATTCTTTACCTCTATATTCTTGCAAGCCACATTCTTCACCACAGCTGGGAAGAGATCCGATGCATTCTTGCCTCGGGCAATCATCTGGGGGTAGCAGAAGAGGCGGGGGGGGTAGTTAGTCAAAAAGTCAGGGCACCCCAGGAACTCCCTCCATTTAGCCAGCTGCTCTTCTCCTTATACAGTATCCAGTTACACCCTCCAGCATCCTATGTGGCAAGTACATAGCATCACATGTCCCATACTCCACTGCCATTCCAGGGCCACAAGAACAGCCTATTCAAACTGAAGTAATGACATGCCCCCCCAACAAGGAAGGTGATGGGTAAACAGAGAGGACAAAAGGACCAACCATGCCAAACTTTATAAAATTTTACGGGGAAACATTGTTTCTTGGATCTGTAAATTACAGTGAAAGAGCACACACACCCCCTCATACAAGAAAGGAAGCTGTGCAGTTTGTATGATGAGGACAGGTTGGTATCCCAGACATGATACCAAACAATTAGCAATTGTATAAATTACTGTGTTAACAAAAAGTAGAACTATGCAGGGACTATATATTACCCCCTCCACAGCTGTGGCCTGCTTTTTAGAAACGGTGTGCAACTGCTCAATCACATCAAATGTTATCTGGTTTGGCACTTGGAATAGAGGCTTATTAAGGGCCAAAAGAATGCCACATCCTCATGCAGCCAGCCACCTCCTGGATGTGGGTTGCAAAGTCTCAGATGAAACTGACTACAAATCTCATCACCCAGGCAAAATGGAACAGTGGCATGATGGGTAGAAAAGATGGGAGTTGTAATACAACATGAATGAAGGACGGCAGGCCAGAAAAAAAGCTTGAGGATTACAATTAGCCAGGCCACTGGTCAAGTGCTGAGAGCAGACACAAAGAACTGGAAGCATTGGAGCAAAGTTAATCGGCTGAAAAACCAGGTGGCGGCTCCAAGTTTGCACTGAGAGGAAAACTTCTGATGTTCACCCCGTAGCTCCATTGTGAAGATGGTGCTCACCGCCACAATCCTCTTCATGGCCTCCAGCTTCAGGGAATCTTTGTTACTGTCCAGCATCTCCTTCAGATCATCATGTCTGCAAAAAAAACCACCCAAAGGCTTTAGTCACTGGAGGGCAGCCAATCAATCGCAGAGCTGTGATCAGGCAGAATTTGGCCCACAACACGGCTGCCAGAAGCAGGCATTTCCACTCTTTTCAAAAGTCATGGTGTGTAGTATTTCTATAGCCCGACCATGTTGTTTCAGAATTCAAGGCAGGAAAAAATTCTCATAAATGTCTCTTTCCCTGTATCTGCCAATAAGAGCAGAGTAATAATATATTGAAAAGATGATTGCTTACTGCACCTTTTTAACACTCAAAATCTGCTGCCTGAGGGGACTGCCCCACTTTGCCCACTGGTAGAGATGGTGCTGTAGGCAATTTATATATATTCTAGTTGCAGCAGACCACAGTAGAATCTCATGGTGCTTGAAAGACTACCATGTATTGGCAGAAGTTTGAATGGACTTGGCAACTATGTTGGCCAAATGTGCAAAGTACTGTATTTTTCTGTGTATAAGACGCCCCCCACTTTTCTAACCCAAAAGAAAAAAATCTAAGTGGGACTTAGTAAGTGTAGGGGGAAAGGGATCAAAGCCCGGCAGGATCACTTTGATCCCTGCTTTCCCTACCACTTGTTTTGGTTCTCTCCTAAACTTACTTCTGTGTATAAGACGACCCTCAATTTTTATTCTGAAGATTTTAGACAAAAGTATAGTCTTATACACAGAAAAATACGGCAGTTATGGAAGGAAATTTAAAGCTCCTCTCTCAGATTACAGAAAATGTTTTGTTTTGTTTTAAATGAGGCCAACAAAGAATGCAGCTAACAGACTTGCAGCATTCTATACCCACCTCGCTCTCCCATTAATGTCATGAAAGTTTTAAGGCCATTCCACCCAACGCTAAGGGCAACGGTCCAACTAACAGATCACAAAGATAACATGCGAAATGCAAATCAGAGGAGATGGAAGAGTAAATGAGTGAACAAGTATATTCTTCCTTGCTAATATCTAGAAGTATCTAGATGACCACATCTGGAGAAACCTTGCTGCTGTCCAGATATTTTGGAATACCTATAATTCTTCACCCCTTGTCATGCTGGCATTTGGGGGGTTGAAGTACCAACTACGTATTTGGAGGACCAAGGGCTCTTCAAGCATAAGCAAAGTGATGCAGAGGAAAGTGATTCTTCACCATCTTCAACCCCAACCCAGTTGGGACTAACAGTCCATTGGGGAGAACTAGTGCGATACAATGGTTAGAAGGCTGGACTGGGATGCAGGAAGAGAAGCTGGTTCTAATCATCATCACTGGGCCATGAAGCTCACTGGGCGATCCTGGGACAGCCACCACCTTACTTAATGTAAACATAACATGGGCAAAATGGAACAAGGAGATAAATAACTAATACTTTCTTGTATTACAAGAATGGAGCTGGAATAGAAATGCAATAAATCGATAACCAACAGCACCCCTAAAGTTTATTTTAGTTCTCAGTGAAAGAAGGAGCAACATAATTTGCATTGCTAATTAAGCTATTCACTAATCAAATAAGCAACTTTATCTTCTCATCTAGCCTCAAGAACAGCTTCTACAACAATGGTGAAATCTGTCACCGGAGCTTGTCCCGAAGATGCTTTATAAAACTTCTCAGAGCTCCCTCTGAGGATGGAATTACATCCTGAATTGGAAGGTGCAGGGAGAATAACCTCATGCAGCAAAAGCAACCGGACTTTCCCTCCCTTAGTTCTCTGTTCCTTGTTAGGTGGGCATATAGGCACAAGCCTCGTATTTTCTCTAAGGAGCTCAAGGGGGAACAAATGGGTCTTCTTCCCCTTTTCATGCTGCCAGGAACCCTCCGGCATGGCCTGACTTTGAGAGACAGTCAGGGTCACCAAGTGAGCCAACAGGCAATGTCCAGCCTTATCCCACACTCTGTTCACTGTGGCAGACGGGCCCTTCCCATGCACTTCGAGGGGGAGGGAGGGGGAGGAAAATGTGTCCCCTATAGCTCAGCCTGCCATACGGGCATTCATATCCACGAAATATAGACTCCCAAGGATGTCTGAGTGACCTCTAACGGATTAGGGAGTGAGCTAGAAAATATTCATACAGAGGACACTCAAACCTTTCCTGACAGAACCTCTGACCCCTCAGGAGTGTCCTCTCTCTGGTCTGCAGAGGCTCAAGGAAACAAGCGCAGATATGATGCTGTCTCCTAGAAGCTTCCTTCTGCTCACAGCATAACTTTCATGCCAGGGAAGGGATGATGTGAAAGAGGAGTTGGGGTCCACAGAGAAGCTGGTGGCAAAGGAAACCTGGGGGGTGGAGGGGAGTCCACAGCATGATCTTCAAGGCCACAAAAACGAGGATACTGTAGTTCATGGCTTTGTTATCAGCTCAGAAGAGGAGTTTCCATTGGACAAAAAGCCCGAGGAGAATGTTCCTACCACATGGGTAGCCTGAGGCCATTTTAATTGCCAGGTCTCTATCCTATGAAACTCTGAGGTTTGTTCATTTATTTATTATTATATTTTAATTACTTTTTAAGGAACTCTGGGTTTTATAGTTTAGCAAACCACTCATCCCTAGATTCTATAAGAGGGATGGTGTGATGACAGCTAAAACTAGTATCTTGTGAGGCCTTTTGTTCAAGGAAAGAGTGGAGTGTGCCGAAGCACTCTCACAATGACAGAGAGAATGGGCAGGGGGCCAAATCCCATAAAGCAAGTGGGATAACTGGGAATCTTACGGAATGTAAGTGCAAACTTTGTGACAGTTGTGCCAATGAAAGAATTCACCCTCTTATATCGCACTTCAAAACCTCCTCCATTTTATCTGCAGTTGTCACGGTGACCAGGTGCGGATATGACTGAACCTGGGATCACTGTGGCTCACAGTCTGAGCTCAGAGCTCAATTCCTTCTGCCTTCCATAGGCAAAGACACCTGTATGACAGAATTAGAACTTCGAAACAGCACATTAGGAACATGAGTTACTGGTCAACAGTTCCTTTTTTCTAGTAATGAAAGCATAACTATTATATTGCTATTGCAATACAGTGGTGCCTTGCTAGACGATGATAATCCGTTCCACTGAAATAGCTGTTTAGCGAAATCATTGTCTAGCGAAAAGCATTTCCCCATTGGAATGCATTGAAACCTGTTTAATGCGTTCCACTGGAGAAGAATCATCTTGTTGTCTAGCGAAGATCGGCCATAGAAAAGCCTCTTTGCGAACCGCTGATCAGCTGTTTAAATCGCTGTCTTGCGAAGCTTAGGTCCCGTTCACGAGCACGGAGGGAGCTGTCAAAATTGTTGTCTAGCAAAAATCGGTTAGTGAAGCAGGGACCAAACATTGTCCAGCGAAATTCCCCCATAGGAATCACTGTTTTGCGAATCGCTATAGTGATCGCAAAAGGCGAATGTCTAGCAAAAAAACCCTGTCATACGGGGTAACTGTCTAGCGAGGCACCACTGTAGTGTAAGGGATAACTGTACAGTATACCCTTTGTGGAGTCAATATAACCACTCTGATTGCTGTTAAGAGTTCCAGGCAGCTGCCCCCAAACGATGCACCTGAAAATAAAACTTGGCCATTTGGAACTCATCATATAACTAACTGCACAAATTAAAATAAAATAAAATAAAAAATAATAAAGGGGGTGGGGTGGGGCTAAGATACGTATATGTTTAGGTTCCCAGTGTGGTGTAATGAATAGAGTGATGGGCTAGGACTCTGGAGAACAGAGTTCGAATCCCCATTTAGCCAAGGAAACTGGCTGGGTGAGTAGAACTGGTTAAGCCACTCCTTAAATATCTCACTTACCTTGAAAGCCCTATAAGGATCACTATAAGTCAGTTCCGACTTGCCGGCACAGAACAACAAGGCATATGTTAGCCAAAGTAGCAGCAGCGTTGATGTGTTTTAACATATATAACAAAAACAAAAGGTGTCACAATATTGTTCATTTTGCTCCTGCTATATACTTTATACTTGTCTGTTTATTATGACGCCTAAATGTCCAACAACATGAGAGGATACTATTTAGATTGCAATTTGTGAAATGTGTCCCCTTTTTATATTCAGAGTAAAGCATGCAACCCATTTTAAAACCCCTTATTCTGGGCCCTAACCTTCTCTTCTTTATCTTCATACAAGTAATGCTGAGATACATTCCTTGTTCTCAGGCTTAGGCCAGATCTGAACCCTCTATTCCTTCTTTGGTAGCCAATGTACATAACAGTTAGCAGTGGAGGGGGGGTCCTCTGTGCCAGTGAGGGTGGCCTATTTCCACAAACAGGTAAATACAGGTTGCTCATTTCTACAGAGAACTGATCCCTGCTTTTACTTTGCATGGAGTGTTTGCACTAGCAAGCCTCTCTGCCTCTACATTGGGGTGTGTGTGGGGGGGTGTCACTAAGTATATGGGAGGGGATTGCAGTTACAACGCTCTTGTAACTGGGTGACCCTACAAGATATTTGGCATAGCCTCTCAAAGCCCTGACGCCCAACATCATCAATTTTCTCTACCACCAAGATTTTTTCTACTCCAACCCCAATTCTATGAGATACAGGTCAATGCCAAACATGTTTAACCCCTTCTTGTGGTCTTCATGTGGGGAGAGGTAACAAATGGTCAAGTAACATTGATGAGGTAATCAATGGTGCGTTTCTGTTCCATGGAAATTGCTGAGAGGCTCGCTTCAGTACAAAGAGCCTCCACATCATGTCAGTTATCGATTGTAAACTTGAAGCACTCCTTATACCCTCACGGCCTCCTCACAATCAGCTACTTTCACTTGTTTAGTCTCACAAAGCACATACTTCACACAGAGATTTCTTTGCAAGGACCCTGATTTTAGACCAGACTGCTTTCTTCACCATGTCCAGAACGGCACTCATATCCCATGAAGCTGATTCTTCTCCCTACTTAACAAATGCAGGGTGTCCACCAGAAGAGCCACAAATTCCAGAATTTCCTTTGTCACAATGTAAGTAAATAACCCTCCTTTGATTTGGGAGGGGGG